GATATAAACACTAACAAAAACAAAAAATTTTTTATAAATATTAGTAAATACAGCATAAAATGACTTTTATAAGAATATATAAAAGAAATAATATAAAACAGTTGTTATTTAAAAGAAAGAACTAAAAATAGGTTTAAAAGAAAAGAGAAAATATGAAAAACAACTATTTGCAAAAACAAGTACACCAAAAGAGATAAGAGTAGCAAAGTCAAACAAGCAAAACCTAACTCAGAAAAAAAAAATAATGAAAAAAGAGAAGATAGTAATAAAATACAAAAGTTATGATTAGAATCAGTTAGAAATTTTATTAATAATAATGTAAAACTCTTTTTTTATAACCTCAAAAGCTAACTTGGTATAATCTCCAGATCCAGATAATTTTTTAACTGGTGCAACAAACTGTCTCTGAGTACTTTTGAAATAACTAAAGAATGTCAAACCAAAATTTAAACATAACTATATATATTAAATATATATTAAATATTTAATAAAGATGAACAGCAAGGCTGCCAAAGTTAAAAAAAATAAATAAATAAAAATAATAATGAACTTTAGATAAATGAAATAAATCTTTTATAAATTTTAAAAGACTAATAATAGAAATAAATCAGAAATGAGTTAATATAAAGTAATGCTGTTAAGGATAATAATAAGGTGATAATGACCTCATGATTTGGTAATATCCCAATAAGGATGATAATATTAGGGGATTGCTACGGACACAGCAGCACGTGATATAATTCCCCTAATTCTGCCATATTCTAACACTAACCTTAACTATAATGCAGGCCATGCTGTGTCGTTAAGGTTAGTGCTGGTCATTTGCTGTGTCGATAAGCTGTGTCTATAGCAATCCCCATCACATAAATTTTTAGGGCTCGATATATTAGTCATGTGATGTTCGAAACTTTTTTGGGTGGTTCTCAAATCAGGCATTCTGATTGGCCAATATTGGTAAATCGATATTTTTGACTATATCGATATCGATATCGATAAATATTTTTCACTGTCCCTGTCAAGACTTCATTTGCGTTACGTGAAAAATTACCAATTTATGAGCATTAAAATCATTCACAGATTCTTTCAGAAATATGGCAACTTGAAATACAACTTGAGATGATTATCACGTCTTTGATCTACGGCTAATCCACGTCTAATCCCGATAATATTGGCCCATTTATGTTCTTTTGAAAAAACGATTTTCTGAAAATCATACAGTACTATGCATCCACTAAGTTTACTATTTTCACTGTAACGGGTTATGCGTAGGTATTTTTGAAGTGCTATCAGCAAAATTGGTGGTATGTGAAGTGAAGTGACACGTATCTGATTCGATCAGACACTATATATGGTCAATTCGTAACATTGTGTCTCGTTATTGATATGATCTACTACAGTATCGTTATATTTATAGAAGTCTATTATGAAGCAAAAGTTAATGGTAATTATAATTAAACTAAAATTTTATTATTCACGAGTAACAGAAGGATCTAAATGGTTTCCTAAGTAATTAACATGGCAATCAAGAAGATAATCGACAATCTTGTTAATTATCAACATAGAATTTAGATCTCATTCGCGACCTCACATGTTATAATTATCCACAAACGTAATTTTCGTAGCACATGTGACTCTTATTATAGATAGTATTCACTATGATGAAAGTTTATTATACTATACAAAATCAATTACCATATATTTATTATCTTTCTTACCGATTAAAACAAACCCCGAATAAAAGGTAAACCTCTATATATACTAATAAAATTCGTTCCCGAATATAAACTTTAGCATGAAATATACTCAATTTTTTTGCGATGTTTTGGTCGTTTTTCATTCGGAATATACGGTGGGTAATTGTTTCGTCAGGTAAATCGTTTATTATAAAAACTCGGGCCAACTTTTTTAAAATAATTTTCTTTTCTATGGTTAAAAATTAGGAATGGCTGGTCACTTTTAACATTCATATGTTATGAAAACCAATTACAGTACTTAGCTTTGTACGATCCTTAAGAAAAACCTTTATTAAGAGGTTTTGAAAATACGCTTTCAATTTTTACAATATTGACATAATTATCATCACCTTAGCCTATAATTCAAATTTAGAAGATAATGTATATAGTAATACTTCTTTCTTTCGGTCTTTTTTCTTTTCTATGCCTAACCATTATTTTGTATTACTTTTTTTCACCAAAAACTATTGAATGTCATAATATAAATGGAAAAACTATTTTACTACTTTTCACCAATCCCGATGAATGCTTATTTTTTTGTCCAACAATTCTAAGTTTAAAACCAGAAAATGACATATTGGTTTTATGTTTGTCATGCGGTAAGTTTTTTATCTTGATATTTGCAAAATTTTTTCCTTTTTTGTTTATAAAAAAACAATATGTCGATATTTTAATTATGTTCATTTAGACAAGTTCCAAAAAGATGAGCTCGAGAAAAGTTGTTCGCAACTTGGAATTGAGAGTATTTATGTCAACATGGAAGACGACCTGTAAGTAAAATATATTCAAATCGCCTTAAATTATTATTATTATTATAGTTTCACGATAAAATAAATTAAAATAAAATAAAAAATAGATTACCATGGAATCCTACGTCGATGTCAAACATTTTCAGAGATTATATTTTCAAAGTTGGAGTCGACGTTGTGAGTTGACCTGCTTTTTTTTTTTTATAACATCTTGTGATTATCTAATTTTACTGATTTTTTTCGCGTTATCATTATCGCTATGCCTGCTTTAAGATTATAACACTTGACAATGGGGGTATATCGAGGTATTCGGATCATATTTTATTTAATAGCATCAGGTAGTAATTTAATATTTTTTTAATGGTTGAACTTTAGTATAAGTGGGCAGACTCTATTATCACGTGTATATCTAAAAAGATTATTAAAAGGATTATTATAAAAGGATCAATGATTAATATAACCATGCCTATCTATATTAAAGTTTATTCAGCCATAACAAGTATGATCCTTTTTGATATTGAGATTTCTCTAATCAATTATATTCATTTATTCATTTCTATAAAGAAATTTTATTAAATCCAATCCAGGCTCAAATGTTGTATTATATAAACTTTTAACTGTTAACATTATTCGCCAATACATTACTGCGCTGGATCTACCTTTGTCCTATTTTTATTATTACAAAAAAAGTCAACAATCAGTAGACTCTAATAATAAATCACCTCCCGAGTTTTTGTTATTCGTATCTATACAAGATCAATATCTTCAAGCTTGTCAGGCAATGAAATATTATAAAAGGCAATTTTCTTGGTTTCGGCATGTTAGGCTTTCGAGATATATGTATATTAATGAATTACAAATAGTTAGTTAAATTTATGATTTTTAATACATTTGATCCTTTTCAGGTATCAGTTTTCTTATAAATCATTTTCATTCGCTTTTTATATGTAAAAAGCTTGTAAAGGTATGCACTACCAACGATACTTTAAGATAAATCTTGTTGCTCATTACAACTTGAAATAAAATTTAACATTAAGTACTATGAAAGTCAATACGTAATCTAGCCCAATAATCTGTTAACCTGTTGTTTTGTTGTTAATTGGAATATCATCAAAAAAGTAAAAATATCTTATTAATTTTCATGTAATTTTGTATCAACTGTACGAAATATAAATACTGACCCTCAGAGATGAGGTAGTTCGAGGAATGTGAAAATATTGAAAGGACTAATTTATGACTTTTCCCATTTGTTTTGATTAGTCACATCTAGTGTACTAAACAAATCAATCAACCAAATCACTAGCTACTTTATCAACAGTTTACAAGATTCATTTCTTTTTATAACAAAATGGATCATATTATTACCATAAGACTTCCACTACGCTATAAACAATTAAAATTGTATAACCTGAGAAGTTCGGTTGTTTAAAAAAACTTGATTTCTTGGTCAATCACTATGTCGTTCAATAGTCTACAATCAGATTTTTCGTTAACTTTTCGTGCATGATTTTTAATTCTGTTGGCAATTCCCCTGCACAATGAAATTACAATTTTCACCAACTTTTCAAATCTTCTATTTCATTTAACTGTTTAAAAGCAAATTATTATATCTATTAAGAATGAGATGATTTTCATTTTTTATAATGACAATATTAATCATTGGAATTAACATAAGACAACTTTTGTTAAGACCGTTTGTTTTAAGACGTCATCATTCTTTAAGAAATTCTAAACGTCAAAAAAATGCTTTATAAATACGTCGTGTTAAAATCGTAGATCTATTTGAGGTACACCATCTAGAAGTTTTTTTTTTACAATCGTGCTACTTTTTAGTATCAGATGTGATCTTAGAGGGAAAGTTGAGTGTGGGCTTTTTTGATAACTGCGGTAATTGATGTTGGACCTGATGTGCTCATAAAACATCATCTTAATTTTGGTTTTCTTCGTCTACCTTTTGGCATTTTATTCCTTTTTATATTAATAATTATACTACCAATAAAAAAGATGAATATAGTTAGGCCATATAAAAAAAAATGGGTTTCATATCCCGGCCAGATCGAAAATAGCCAGATTCCAAAATTTTTTTATGACGCAGTATATAAATAGCCAATAGGAATGCACAAATCTCATATATAATTGAATTTTATTTCGCTTGTCAATTTTTTTTTAATTTAATAGTGGTTTAATTTGTATTTACTTATTTGCGCCAGTGATACAATCCCCAAAAGGAAAAAAACAAAGATTATTTTTTTATTAGCATAAATAACGCGTGAGAGTCATGGCGTTAGGGATGGGATTGGGATTAGAATAGTTTAATATGTTAACATTTTATGAGGAATTTGGTTTATTAAAACGTAAAAGGGTGTTTCTTATGTAATATTTTGATTTTTTTTAAAAAAAAACATTTTTTCATGTTAACCAGCAATTACATAAGACAATTTCCTTATTTGAGGTTGTATTACTGGCATAAATAAGTGTATGCGTTTAATTTTCGATAGTTTTACATTGTTTTCCTTTTTTATTTGTACCTGGGACCACTTAAAACGCTCTTTGGTGAAGACTTTCCACCACACCCAACACACATTGGTCGTTCACCCTTTGGTGGATTTGCTATATTTCAGTTGTCGCACAAATAACACACATCAGAAAAGTTTCTTGCTAAGTAATATGGCTTTTCAATTGGGGAAGTGTAACATCAAGAGTCATTTACTAAGACCTGATGAAAGAGCTCATATAAAGGATCACTGCCCGTGGATTTTTTCTTTTGATTTGGGATTTTTATTATTCTTTTTCTCCTCTTCATCACCGACATAGTCATCAACTTCATCATCACTAATTTCATCACTACTAATTTTATTACCAAATTTAGCACTTTCAATATGAATAACCTGGTTCAGCAATAACATGTCGAACAGTCCTGTTGATCACTTTGTTGATCATCAGAATTCTCTATAACATTAACATTCTCAACTTCAGCAGTATTAATTAATCTGGTGGATGCAAGATCATGAATATTATGAAATAACATTCTGCATGTATATAAAATTGTATCAAGTAGACTTCAACATTTCATGTTTCTTTATTAACAATTTTTTTGTACTAAACAACATCGTGGTTTCTCACATTCAGCACAAATAACAATGATTCCAACATTTTTTGTGTGTATTAAAATAGTATAGTTGTAAGAATTTAGTTATTATATGTGACCTCACGAAAATTCTACAGAAATTTATTTATTTATCGTTTAATAAAAATATAATAAAAAAAAACCATATGATACAGTACCAAAAGAATTTAAAAGGAACTTAAATCATTATTTTTACTGCTGCTTTCACCTTTTTATGAGATCGCTTTTACATTTAACAAAAATCAAAAATTTCCAAAAAAAGGTTTATCAAATCCTTTATTTTTTTGAAATATTATTATTTGGGGGGTTTTTTTTTTAGAAGGAAAAGCTTTCTTGGTTGTTTTATGAGAGACGAAAATACTACTATTAGACTAGAATAAATAGCTAAACATATTTTTAACAAAGGTAACAAACAATTAATGCAACATAATTTTTTATGTAATTATGATCAAAGTTGCGAATAACTGCAATTTTACCCTTACTATAAATTTCGGAATCATGTAAAATTTTAAACTGAAAAACAGAATTATATTGTTATTAACTGTAACTGTATATAAATGATTTATTAAATTTGAATAACCCGTTTTTTTGTTCTTTGATTATCGGCTATAATACGGAAGGATATAAATTATACTAATATTTTCCATCATTTGAAGGTCTAAGCATCGTCGAAAGAATATAAATTATCCTGATTACTATCATTTGCAGGTCTAAAAAGAGAATCTTTTTGATTATCGGCTGTGATCTGAAAAGAACATAAATTGCACTAATATTTGTCGTCATTTGAAGGCATTTATGTAACATTTGTTCGGAACTTTGGCATTTATTGGAACCGACTTAAAAAGCAAGATTTAGAATACTATATACATGTCTTTGTAAAGGAATGTAAATTAATATTCTTGTAGTTTGTACAATTTTAATTCAAAAAAAATGATTATTTGATTGTTTTTTTTTAAACTACAAAATACTCATGTTTATTACTAGAAAAACGGTGACGTTTTGTGGGCTGGAGCCTTAATTCTTAGGTCTTACGCTTTAGAATAAGTTTAAATTGTACAAGAAATTTATAAAAAAGCTGAAACCTATTCAACGACGACACCAAAACGACGGAAACTTAAATTTTCCACTATTTATTAGGCGAACAAAAAATAAAAACTAAAATGCGTAATTATTTGAAATTATTAATAATAAATACAAACCTAATAAATAATAAATACGCACCTAGAAGGATACTTAGTTTCAGCTAAACAGTTAGCTTACTCGTCCTAGCCATCACGTAGCGGTGTATCCTATGATTAGGTTTATAACAACCTAAAGTTGTATCCTAAATAGAAACTAAATAGGACGTAAGCGATAGATAATATGGTTAACATTGTCCAATATCATAATAGTTCAATAACTTGGAATATTAACCAGTATCTAAAGAAGTTCGCCTAGAGTTCGGCACATTGTATAATTAAGTAAAGAGCTGCGTTAAAGAAATCGCCATTTTAACCACTCAGCCTTTTGACTGCTTAAAGAAGAGCTTAACAATACCTTCTAATTGGTAAAGTAGATCTTAAGCAGTGAATTCAAAAAGCTTACGAAAAAATTTATTCTAAAGAAAACGGATATAAAAAAATCGTCTCAAAGAGATCGTCGCTTTTGGTTCGTTTATGGGAATTAAATGTTTTTGTATGTAGTATCGGTATGGATTTAAAAATATAAGGGGAAGGATTAACGTTAAAAATTTTGAAACAAAAAAATTCTTTTTTTTTTTACTAATACGTTTGTTTTTTGATAATAATAAAAACCACATTTATTGATTCAAACATTAGGTCAACATGTGTTGATCATCATAAAGACGTAGTTAATACGTATCGATATGTAGATGTAGATAATATGTAGATAACACGTGACTATCAACCAACAAAATCAAAAAAAAAGATATAATGAATATTTAGTACGTAGTAATTAATACAGTCAACTCTCCCAAATCCGAACCTGGATAATTCGAACCATTAATAAACTCTGTAAAAACCGAACACAAAGCTTTAGAATATTTGTAAATTTTATTAAAAGTTCGGATTAGCAACATAGTAACTCTTTGAAAACTGAACTTTTTGATATTTTTACATATAAGAACGGACCATTCGGAATAGGGAGAGTTAACTGTATTTTTATTAGTAAAAATAATTACAAACATCGTAGGCTTGGTAAAATTTACAATTAATTGAACATTCAAAAAAAGAGGTCGCTCAAGTAACCTTAACATGCAACATCCGTATATTAGAGTGATAACGACATTTGATAAAATACTGGAAAAACGGCGTTGTTTTGTGGGCTAAAGCTCTAAATCTTAAGTCTTAAACTTTAGAATTAATTTAAATAGGGATGTTAAGTAGTCCGATCAGGTGGTCAGAATTTATATTAAAACACGGTTTTTAAAGTACTGACTAGCTAGTAAACTAGCTGGTTCTATTGAATAGATCACATTTTTAACCAGGTGGTTAAACTATTTAACATCCTTACTTGTAAAAAATAGCATTATAAATGGTTATTATTATTATTCAAGATACAAAATTTCCGGGTGATGTAACCTGCTTTTTTTTCGGTAAACGAAATTCTGCATTATATTTCGAATGATTGTTTGGCCGATTCGATAAGTTTGTGATTCGGCAGTGATTTAATAACCGTCTGGAAGCTTTTCAACACATCCATATCTTCGAAAATATTTGAAAATTTGACTTACGGAAGACCTGCTAACACCTAGATGTCTGGCAATTGCCCGAGCTGTTAAGCCTTCCAAACATTTTTTCAGCGATTGTCCAACGAATATACTTTGAAAATGTCATTTGGCAAAAATAAAAATAGTTATATGTACATTATATAGCCATTATTTATTTGTGTTAATTCAATCCATGAGTTAAATTATGAAAAAAAACCAGTACCCAAATACAGCTCACCTTTGTTATAGTGAACTCTCGATATAATAAAAATTTTCGAATTACGAAATTATAAAGTATATAGTATTTCTACATATGTGGCATCTTTATTTTTTGTCGACATATGAATAACAAAAGATTGCACATAGTTAACATTCATATAATGAACTGACAATTCTTATAATAAATTTTTTTTTACTATGTTCCAATACTGAACTCTAATAAAAAAAGTTTATTATATTGTTATAGAGCATAGATACGTATAAAAAGGTTCATTGCAAGAATGACTGCATTGGTGCATCAGGAGGTCGGGTTATAATGTGACAGCGCCTCGAATATACCTCGAATAGTGATGACGATTTGCTGACCCGATTTTATAAGTTTTAAAGCCCAAAGTCTATTTATCTCTAACGTCACGTTTGCATAAAACCTGGGTTTCGAAATAGTGGAATCCGCTATGATCATCACATGAAGCTTTTATAATAAAAACATATAAAACGCGGATTTCACCCTAACCCGATCTACAAAGCGGATTTCACTATTTCGCAACTCAGATTTTCACTATGTTATATTATAAAGGCGGATTTACGGAAACGATGTAGATTCGAGCTAATATTATCATTATGGACGGTTATGGGAAATGAATGATATATAATGAGAATAGGATCTTAATGTAACGCTTCTCTGTTTTGAATCTTTCAGATGTTTTTAATAAACATGCAATTAAAATTAATTGTCTAGGTAGTGTATAATTGACAATTACAGAAATGTAATAATTTAATATCCAAATTTTTCTTCGTAGCCAGGAACCGTCCAACGTCCTTTTTTGACCATTTTCTCAACAATATCATTGAGTTCCGGTTTAGCTTTAACTAGTTCATCAACCTGTAAATAAATGAATTAAGTTAGAAAAAGTCAAAGGAAGGAATAAATACAAAATAGAATTTAACATTCACGCTAATATCTTTGAAAGGCCTCGTTTGTTCCATGTTTGTCAAAGTAGCTTGCAATTCCCCAAGCTCGGCATCAATTTTGTTAACTGTATTTTTTGCGTAGTCAATCTATAATATTTAATTTGATTGATAACGGGATCTGATTGAATGGATACTTAAATAACATGAGTTAAATAAAATGACTTAAATACTCACTGCTTTCTTTTCAAACTTTTCAACAACTTTCAATTGTGCATCCAGATCAACTTTTGTTGGTTTAAATTGGTTTAAAACCTTTTCGGCTTCATTTACGATTGACTTATTTTTTAAGATGTTTCGATAATGCTCGAAATCAATGTCAGCTTTTTGTTGTTTAAGAGCAGAAACAACGCGTTTTGCCTCCTCATTACGCTTACGAAATGCCTGTAAAGCTGTTATAGTTTCTTTCCTTAGACCTAAAGTTACTGTTAATTTTGACCAGTCAATAGAGGCAGCTCGAACCGAAGCCATGTGGACAAAGATCTTTTTTTTCAACAGACGAGTATAGTGTATGTTTGTTTTTTATTGGCTGCAAGTATGCAATCTGTCTGATTGGCCGGTTATAATAACGATAATCTTCATGGAAAAGACCTTAATATGTAGAGCCTGGAATCGAAGAGGAAATCTACCCGGATTTACTTATTTGTTATGTTTGGAGAGTAGGCCTCTTATAAATTGGGACCAAATCGTGTCATGCATTTTATATCTTAGGGGTGCGACTGTAAATGAATTTTGTCCGGACGTGTGGAGGAAATGATAAAATGTAATTTTGGAAATTTCAGTCTGTCCCAATGCATATTTGCGTAATACTAGGAACCTGAAACCGGTACAAGCCTGGAGCCTAAAATGTTCAACTAATGGCCCTCAGCCCCTGAAGAAACTGATTATATATGCTGCAGATCAAAATTTTCAGAGGCGTTACAGACAGAAAATGCTGAAACTATGTTTTTGATATTTCTGTTATAAAAGCATCAAAAATCGCAATTTGGGTCATCAAAGTGCATAGAAAGTATGAGTCAGTACAACAATCTCATGTGACTTCGCTTCGGGTTTCAGTTTCCTAATTTATTTATTTATTTTGTTTGTCGATAATCATTATTTTGAAATTTTGTAATCAAAATTATTGTGTAAACAAATAAAATATTTAAATATCGATATCGATATGTATTCAAAATTGGTTTAATGTAGGGCCTTAAAAGATAACCTTTTACCAAATATGAAGCATAGGAATCAACCTAATATAAACCGCCTTTTAATGTTTTGGCAAATATTTTTAGATTCGGCTGCCTATACAAGCACCCGATTTAATGTTTCTCAAAATTTCAGTTATAATAAAGTTTCAGTTATAATAAAGTTTCGTTCCTAAATAATAAAGAATCATATATATATACGAATAAACTACCCGATAAGATCAAATAGCTAAATATTATTTTACATCGTGAAAAACATATCCATACGCATTGGATGGGACCTAAAAAAGTTAATATTTATACAAGCAGAAAATTAATAATTACGCGATTATATCTATAATTTATAATGGTTTACAACTTACGTGCTAAGTTGCGGTTTTTGCGAATATTTTCGCGCAAGAATATCCCTGATACTATTCAAGAGCTGTTGGTATGTTTGGTGTTTGTTGCTCCTCAATCTATCAAAGAAAGAATATTAAACCATATTAATAATAATCCCAAAGAACAATAATAAATAAATAAAAAATAAAATAAAACACATAAAATAAATTAAGTAACACTGACGCTGTGATAAAGGCGTATGACATGGCCCCCGTGTTTTGCCCGGCTTCAGTAGCATCTGCAGACGTTTGAGAGTCCTTACATCTAATTTCATATTATTAATGAGATTAAACTTAAAATATTAAATAAATCATAGAAATAAAATATTCTTACACTTACCCACTAAACATAATAACATCAGCTGGACTTGATTTATTCACCTTATTTTGCTCTGCTACCTTGTTACCAGACATAGCTTTCTTTCCAAATGACACTATACTCGTTTTTATACCATTTAAATCACCTCTTAAATACGACATCCCAGCATTCATAATAGTACTCCCCCCATCGGAAAGAATATTATACTCTTTAACTACACCTTGTGTAGAATATATGTATGGTAAATCAAGAGCAGTTCCAGAATGGCACGAATCAAAAATAGCAGTTAATCTTACTCCTATATAGGGTAAAACCAATATGTGAATAATGTAAATAAATAGAAATTTTAATCTTCGTAAATAATAATAATAATAATAATAATAAAAATCAAATAGAAAAATTTTTTACCAGGTTGAAGTGGTCTCACCATTAAAGCATGCATGTCCTAAAATAATCATGACAATAACTTTAATAGATATTAACATGCTATATATATAAATTCTAATTACAAGAAGAAAACACACGTCATCAATTATTTGACCGCCAGTACTTTTATCATGATCAAGCGGAAGAATGGTTTCATCATATCCATCATCCTCATCGCCGTCAAGATCTTCTACCTGGCCACCATGTCCACTATAATGGAAAAAAAGCCTAACAATAAAAAAAGTATTAGAAACAAATTGGAAATTATGAAATATATATATTAATTGGTTAAGATGTCGTACGAATCGTTTGGTTTGGCGTCTTGTACAAGCCATCGCATTGCATCTATAATATTTTTTCTATAAGGAATCCTTGCAGGATCTTTCTGATCATCCGTTAAGATCCACATATCAGCTTCTCTGAATCCATACAATTCAATTAAGAAGTTTTTTACATTGCGAACGTCATTAATACAGCCTGTTCAAAAATAAAATAAAATTGAATTGTCGAAGTAGTTAGAAGTGAAAAATTCAAAGTCCAATTACCTTTCAACTCAAATTTAGTATGTAAATAATTAATTCCAATTAAAACTGCCTTTTTACGACCAGTACAATTTGATAATACATAATTTGAAGGAGGAGGTATATTCGGATTTTGATGCATTACGTAGCCTTGAGCCGGAAATTGTTGATATGGTGGTGGTGGTTGCGAAGGTGGATTATGGTATTGTTGATTTGGAGGTGGTTGTGAAGGTGAATTGTATCGTTGATTTGGAGGTGGTTGTGAAGATGGACTATAATATTGTTGATTTGGTAGAGGTGGACTATGGTACTGTTGGTTTGGTGGAGGTGGACTATAGTATTGTTGATTTAATGGAGGTTGTTCCCATTGCGAAATTCTAGTTGCTTGATCTGTAATGAATACAAATATTCATTAGTCTTATGGTATGGAGGTACAAAGTCTCGCTTAAGTAGCCAGTCCAATCACTAATAAAATTTAAATTTATCTAATACTGATACATACTAACATAATAATACTTTTGACTAGCATGATCATACAGAGCTATCCATCCAGGTGGCAAAGGTGGAGGTGCCTGTTGTTGAGGTGGAGGTGCTTTAGAACCTGGATAACCAGGATTATTGGATTTTACACCGTATTGCTGTTCGTACTTTCGTCCAGGATACATGTTTTAAAAGTAACAAACTCATTAAAACCCCATTTTAAAAAGTAGTGGTAGGATTGGGTACGCATTTACTAATTTCGGATTCTGGTCAATCGAAGGTGTAACGGTAACATGAAAATTAAAAACATTTACCTTTTCCAAACAAACCCGGTAATTTGGAATTTCATACAGTACAAATAGTTAGTGATATTACCCAAACCCGAATGGGATTCTAACTCTACGAAACAAATATGGCAGGATTAACCATAACTGCTGCAACAAAATTGTCCCGGCATATCCTTGATTTTGATTGGCCAACGGCCGTAGATCTACTCGCGCGGAGGAACTTAGGTTCCTTAGGTTCAGAAAATACAGATATATCCTAAAAATTTACTTATTATGAACAGGAGGGAACGTTGATGTTACACGATTGATTTTACGCACGGTGTGAAACACATAAAAAATTTTTTTGATCTTATAATCCACTAGCTGACTGATCAAGATTGTTCAAGTATTGTAAATCATATGACAAATGATCTACATGTACTCTATCCTTAATCGTCCGTTTCTGCTATTCCGAAAAACAAACTCAATTATAAAAATGTATCAATCTTTTTATCTTTTTTTTACCGCGACTATTTTTTTTTCTGAGCTTTAAGTTAAGTAATTAATTTTTTTATGATATTGCCTTGGTATAAACAATATCCTACGGCACATATGGCCTCTGTCCATATGGTCGATGCTTGGAAGAGGTTGTCATAAACGCCCGCTGGAATTACCCTAGCGCCCTAGTGTGCTCTCCTCTTTTCAGTATATTGGATTTAATAGGTTCCCTACGGCACATATGGCCTCTGTCCATATGGTCGATGCTTGGGAGAGGTTGTCATAAACGCCCGCTAGAATTGTTCTAGCGCCCTAGTGTGCTCTCCTCTTTCCAGAGACCTATTTGATCAATACCACTATATTATAAATGTTTGACCTAATGAGACTATTAAGTGTTGTTATTAATTTAATTCTTTATTGTTTTTCAGAAATGGAAATTTCAAAAGCAATATCATTGTTTTTTGAACAGACGGAGTATAAAAATTGGAATCGACTTGGATGTCTAGAATATTTGGAAAGTGAATGATTAAACCTGAGATCACTTGGTCAACAACAGATCCATAATGAGTTCAAAAGTCAAGTTTACTCATTGATGAGGATCACACAGCATTGAAAATAGAATTGAAAGATATGATAGATAACTTTCGTGATGAGCTTCATTTTAAAAAGGAAGATTTGGCTAAAATCTTTGTTATGGGAATCCAAGCAACTGGTATGAAGAATTTTTCATGGTTCTAATTAGTAATTAATTTGATGAACATTTTGTTTACCTTTGTCTCAACAAAATCAATAGGTCACAAGTGGACAATATATTGTCTATCATATAATTGTGATGTTGATTTTTATTTTTTAACAGAAGTTGCTACATTAGTTATTCCAAGGTCCATGTCGGGAATGGAAGATTTATTGGGACCGCTCATTAAGAATCTCCTGGGATTTGGAGTTTTTTTTTTTTTATATTTTTTATATATCTTCTTTTCAAGTACCAACTAACATTGCATCAATAAAGCATACGTTGCTAATGCTTAACAAAAAAATCACAAGCACAGCAATAGCTCGTCACTCTACACCTTCTCCACCTTCATCACCTCCACATCAGACCTCTAATACTCCAAAGGTTAATCAATTCTTGACAAAATTTATTAGTGATTACAAAAAAAATTAATAAAGAATTGGCTTGTTTGTCTATAGCGTGCTTTATTTTTAACAATGTGTATGTGGTGCGGTGTAGGTAATGTTTGGCAAATCGCAGTTTTTTAAAAAATCCCGCGCAGGATCCGCGGAATATAGGTTTTTTTTAATTTTTCAAATATACAGTATAATGATTATCATTATTTCTTGTTAAAATAATATATAATTATTGGATGCGAAGCAGCCAATAGCGGAAATTATTTTCATTATCTGGTGGAGTAGCATTCATTAACTGTATTATCCAGTATCTTACGACGACCGAACCAACGAGTTCTTTTGATGATAACGGAGTTATGCAATTGTTGCATCTAAAGTGGCGATTTATCTAAAGTAGCGCCTGGCTAAAATTAAGCCCCTGAAATTAGATCTTCATGTATGCATTAAGTTATAATTTTAGCCAGGGCGCTACTTTAGATTAAGGATCTAGTATCGCCAGTCTAAAAAATTTCGCCGACTATGTGATCTTATTGAAAAAATTGTTTCGCAATTTAGTTTAGGGTTAGGGTCCCATCAGTAGGTTAATGTTTGTTTAGAAGGTTATAGTTATAGTAAAATTTCATGAGGAAAGTTTTTTGTTAGTACGCAGAAGGCACTTTCATAGGCAAAATTTTGAGCTACGAGCGTTTTGATTTTTTTGCAATTTTTTGTGTTACACGAGATCTTGAAATTTTTTTGACTGGTGATTTAACTACTATTACTTTAGATAGGTTATTCTGTTGGTACGATCATAATAAGGTGCCGGATAATATATTTTTAAATAATCATATTAATCTTACTGCATTCAATATTATAACAAGGAAGAGTAAGTAAGAATTACCAAAGGCAAAAAAAAATTAAGGTCCTACATAGAAATGCATGCATATTAATTTTATGTACTAATTAGAAATTGGCCATTAATGTTAATGCAGGCCGGATTATTTTTAATGCAGGCCAAATAATCTCATTAAGGATCAAAAAAATCCGCGCATCCGTGTGTGGCCCATCGCTAAGTGTAGGATCGAAATAAATAAAAAAAGTGTATATATACTTTGCAATAAAGCTGGCCCTTGTTATGCATGTGTGCCTAAATTAAGGCATGCCGATATTGTTTATATTTTCGGCTGGCATATTTATTTTCATCTGCCAGTTTGATTATCCCTTAAACTGTCAATTTAACTACGATTTAGACTACAATTCAATATAATTTGATAGCTTAATCATAGATCAATCATGAAATTTCCAGGCAAATTTGCCTGGAAAACAGTTTAAAGGATAAGCTGCTATTATTAAAAATGTCAGAATTCAGGGAGGTCCTCTAAACACTGGCCGCATGATAAGCACAAGCTTATAATATTAAACTTGTTAATAAAAACCGAACTATGAATATACGGTGACGAACATTTATTGATCTAAGTATTCTAATAAGTCTATTTCGCTTATAATTAGTGAGGAACGTTATTATAATTTTTAGAATGTGAGTATAAGCTATCAAAGTTCATGAATATTTATACTTAATTTCGTCTTGTTAATTTAGTTTGTAAGTATAAGAACTTTATTAATCTAAATAAGCTATTTAAATTTTACTATTTTAATTGCATTAATTTAATAAGCGAGTATAAAGAACATTTATTTAATAAATATTTAAATAAGCTACAGTATTTGAGTCTATGAATATTTAGTATTTAGTTTAGCACACTCTCACGCACTCATATTTATAAATAAACTATTCAATAAAGTAAATATTCACATTGTAACGAATATAATATATGGTATCAGGCTAGTGATACAAATAATCGACTGAACTTTTTAGACACCAACTAATCGATTAATCGACTAATCGATTAGTTGCAACTAATCGACTTAAGAATTAATTGTAAAGAAACCCATTTATTTACTTAACGTTAATTAATTAGTCCAAACCACCAACTGCATCAGGGCGTAGGATCGATTTCCCGTTCACGTGACTTACGACCGTGTAACCAGATCGGAATCGATTTTTCTGTTTAACCAAATTGTTAAGTTTTTAAATTCTTATTTCAATGCACATAATTAATTACTATGTATTCGTGATGTTATAAATAATAAAATAAAGTGAAACCCTCACAAATTATAGCAAAAGCCACTTTTTGTATTAATATGTTTTTATACACTAAATCGTATTTTACCATATAATCTGCATAGTGGTTTCATTTTGTTACGAAGTAATTATTTTGGTATTTATTAAACCTAATATGTAATTAAATTAATTAGGGTGTAAAAATAATCTCTAAATTTTACAAAGTATTAAGGTCACGCAAATTTAATTTATTGGTTCTCGTAATATGAAACTTTTTAAATAGACTTAGCCAACCAGTTTTTTTTTTTAATTTTATATATAATAATTTTTAAATTTTTTATTTTTTTTTTGGTGTTAAGGTGAGGCCTTGCTCATATCTTTATTAGTAATTTTAGTTGTACATATTAATATACTATATATTAAAGATATACTAAGATTGTAAAATACAAAATAAAAATTATATGCAAGAATTAAAGCTCAGACAACTTTATCTGTAATTTAAACCAACTATGGTGGTCAAGACCCACCTAGATTTGTAATGTTAAAATATAATTGTAAGATGTGCTATGATTAATACAAAGTGTTGACCATATATTGATTTTCCTAATAGCTTATCCAATTTGTAAACAAGTTTAAAATTTTTTTTAAAAAGTTATTTGATTATTAAAACATATAAAATATTATTTATAAAAATTTTCAAAATTTGACCTGGCTGGGTTATGAGAACCAATTAATTAACTTTGCATAGCCTAACTAAATTAATTTTAAACAGAATAGCAGAAAATAATTATAAATTTCTTGATTTAGTTTTAAATAATCAAATATATTAAATATAAATTATAATAATAAATTACAAGTAAAACTGAAATTAATATACAAAAAAAATTAATAAATACAGATTTCTGTTCTATACAAATTTTTAATTTTTGTTTGTTTTATATGTTTTTTAATTTTTTTTTTTTTTATTATTATATTTTGTAATGATACTTTAGTAACTTTTATTAGATTAGTTATTATAATTATTTTTATAGAGATAAAAATACAACTAGTCATGTGTGCAACTTTTGGTTGCCTATTTAAGTAGTTTACTCTAAGGTTTTATATTAGATACTGTATCTATAACCTACTAGGAGATTATTCATTTAAATTCTCTAATCATTTGCTTTGTCATAATGTAATCCTAACTAAACCTCTGTATATACCTAACTGATATACTATCTAAGTGATATGGTATTTACTTTTTTTGTACTAGTTCTTAGGCTGTTATATATTTTAGAATGCATTACTTACCAGTAAGACATAGAGAGCCTCTTGTTGTTAACTATCTACTTACTTTTAGAATACTAACAAAAGTTACCCTTACAGAGTTTACTCAGATCTTGGCATTAATTTCATAGCATATCTTTAGTACTTTTAGTATACCCTTGCTTTGATCTTAACTTCTAATTCAGATAGTCTGGAAGGATTGTAATCTGTTCTTGATGCATTAAGGCTGGCTCAATATTCTTTTTCTCTAGTCTGAAATCCAGTGACCTGGTTAGTAATATCTCTTATTTGAGGTTCTTGCCTATCTGATTTCTTCACATTGGTATCTATTTTCTAGTTCTAGTCTTTACAGTAGTACTGTCAAAGATCTATATTACTTCTTAGCTTAGAATTTTTAAATGAGCTCTAACTTCCTAGTTCTATAGATTTACATCACCTAAAAACTTATTTTAGGTTTGCACTGCCTAGTACTAGTTTGCATTTCTCTGTATAACAGGTTTTATGGATACCTCAAACCTGTCAATTATGTTGGTATAACTATAGTTATAAATATTCTATTTCAATTAATCAACATAATGCCATCACTATAATACCATCTATATATTATATAGATGATTATTCAAATTTCACTGTTAGTAAGTTTTGAACTTACAACCTACTACTTGAAGAGATAACAACTTATTCACTTTATTAAGTTACCATACTCTTTGTTTTTTAATTAAATTATTATATATTTAGTATAATACAATTAAATAAATTCTCAAAACATTATTTTAAAATTCAGATTAATATTTGAAAACTATATCATATAACATATATTTCTTAACTAAATTACTGCACCTCTATCTAGTTCAAACAGTATCAAAACATTATTTTAAGATTTAGATTAATATTTAAAAACCTTTTTTTTTTTTTTTAACCTTAAGCAGTTACACTAGTACTTTATTAAGATTTTTAAAACTATATATCTATACAATTATATGGAATTTTCTAACATCTAAGTCTAGCATCCCTCAGCCACCCTAATGGTACCTAAGTGCAACCTGCTGCACTATCCTAGTTAAGAATAAACTGCTCGTCTAACTACTTAAAGCCATACTAGAAGGGTCTTCTTCCTTTTGTGACAAGCATATTTATTGTTTTCAAAGCTTCTTTCTTCATTTGGTCTGCTTTTTCTGCCTTCTGTTCTTTTATTTCTTCTTTAGCTTGTTTATCTTTTTTTATTTTCTTCTTTGATTTACCTTTTGCATAAGCACCTTTTTTTATTTTGTTCATTATATTGATCTTCTTCTCCCAAGCTTGTATTTTTTCATATTGCACCTTCCATACTTGGTCATAGAAGGTGTTCTATACTGTTCTTGTGACTATGTCTATGCACTTCTGTGTTGCTTGCTTACTTAGAAGTTACTTCAATTTTTTCTTTATTTTTAGCATTGTGAGTCCTTTTATTAGCACTTCTCTGTTTGTAATTTCTTCTGCTTTTGTTTTTCTGAATAATATCTTATAAAGAACTTGTAGTGAAATTCTGTTTTTCTTCTCTTTTTTGAGTTCATTCTATGCTGTCACTGTCATGACTTTTTGAATTTGTTTTCACAAACTCTTTTGTTCACTACAACTTGCTAGATGTGCCTAGGTCTCTTTTTCTTTAACTTGGCATACTTGATATTCTACTG